TATCACACTGTGGAAAAAAAGAAAGTGAAGAAGGCATTAGAAGATGGATAAACATTCCCTATTTTTACCTGGGAGAATTAACATTGTAAAAATATCCACACTGTCAAGAATAATGTACAGATTCAATAACATTTTTCACAGAAAGAAATAACACATTCTTACAATACATATGGAAGCACAAAACATCCTGGATAGCTCAAGAAATCCTGAAAAAAAGTTCAATGCTGGAGATATCATAATACCCAACTTCAACTTATGCTACAGTACTATATTAGAAATGACAGATGACACTGGCATAAAAATAAACATGTCTTTTGACCAATAGAGCATTATAGGAGACACAGAAATAAGCTCATGCATCTACTACCATCTGATTCTTGAAAAGGTGCCAAAAGTATATGTTCTAGAAAAGTCAGCCTCTTAAACAAATGGTGTGTACAAAAATCAGATATCAATTTGTAGAAGACAGAAAATATATCCTCGTATCTCACCCTGTACAAAAATAAACTCAAATTGGATCAAATACTTTAATGTAAGATCTGAAAAACTGAAAGTACCAGAGGAAAATATAGGGACAGCATTTCACGATAAAGGCACAAGCATCCTTTCCTTAAAAAGGACTCCAATAACTCAGGATATAAGAGCAAGAAACAATTACACGAGTGAAGTGCTAGTTTAAAAAAAGAGACAAAAATCTTTGAAAAGTATTCATCTGACAAATTATTAATATTAGGAATATGTAAAGAGTTCAGAAAATTAAATGCCAAAAAGAATAAATAATCCAATTAATAAATAAACAAATTAATTGAATAGAGAGTTGTCAAAAGAAAAATTACAAATGTCCAATCAACACATGAAAAATTATTCAGCATCTCCAGCAATAAAGGAAATGTAAATCAAAATAACATTGAGATTCCAATTTAGCAAGTCAGAATGGCTATCATCCAGAAATCAAAGAACAGAAAATGCTGACCGAAGTGTAGGGAAAAAGGAAACCTAATGCACCATTGGTAGAAATGTAATTAGTGCAAAACTTTGGAAATCACTATGGATGTCTTCACAAAATTAAAAATAGAACCGTATGATTCTGGTATATGACTTTTGTGGCAAAACCTGAAGGAATGTAAGTTCAGCATACAATAATAATATCTGCACACCATGTTTATTACACCATAATTCACATAGCAAGTTATACAATGGATCTAACTGGAGATCATCAGATTAACCAAAATAATTCAGACTCAGGAAGACAAATATTTCATGGTTTCCATCACATGGAGAATGTAGATCCATAAATATAATCAAATGTATATACAAACAAACAAAATGACATGAACTCAAATTGGAAACTATTTTGGGTTAAGGGGTCAGAGGAGGAAGAATAAAGATAAGGGAGAGTGATGGGGAGTTAATAGGATCAAAGTACATTGTATACATGTGAGGAAATGCAATAATGAAGCTCATTATTTTGTACAATACAAAATAAAAATAAACCTGTAGAGTCAACTTGCAAAGACCAGTGAGGAATACCTGTTATGAATTACGAGCTATGATTTATATGACCTTTGCCATTTAGGTTCTGGTGACATTTCTATCTTTTTCTTACTCAAAAAGAAAGACAGGATTAAAAAACAAACAAACACATGAAAATACGTAAAAAATAGATTTTATATTATAGTATTTTCCAATTTTAAGCCATTACTCTAACACTAACTAATACCTATAAGAGAAATTAGTAGTCATGACATATAAATTTCTAGTGCTCATACTTAAATATCTTTAATCTACTATTATAAAGGCAATAATTCTGATGATAATATTGATAAACACATTGATAATTACCTTATGATACCTTCTTAACACATATAATTGGAAGATAAATAATTCATTTATTAAATAGATTATATAAATATCAGTGTATCAGTGTATTCAGTGTTCAATGAAATTGTTCTCAGGAGGAAAAAGAAAACATTCATAATATTTCATCAGTACTGTGATATTAGGGAAATCTTTTATTACTTATACCTGAAAGAGATTAATGAATGTCTCAAATTCACCTTTATGACCTCTTTAGTAATCTTTGCTTTACTTTCACAATTATAGCTACACATGCATTTGTTGCAAAAAATGCCCATGGGAGATTTTCCTTTGAGTCATCTTATGTCTTTTAATTCAATATATTCCCATCAATGCATCCATTAAGCTATTTTTGTTTTGAAGAATCATGAAAGAGACATATTCTTGCCACATCTGACTGCTGTTTCATGTTGCAATCACAGAAAAATAAGAGGGACCATCCTGAAAGGCCACCTTGATATTCTAAAAAAAGTTAAATTTGACAGAAGTAAGAATGAGGATTCATGCATATTGATTTTCTTAAATTAGGGTAGATCTTTGAAGCTTTGATCAACTGATACATAAGATTTTAAGTTCTTCTGAAATACTTTGGTTGGTGGTTATTTTCAATAGAAAGATATTCAGGAAAATCTGAATGGTAATATGAGGGCAAATTAATTTTGCAACAAATGCTTTAAGTTTTTATTTGTGAAATTGCAATTGAGCATTGTAAAAAATGTATGAACTTTGGAAACATACATACACAGATTAGATAAAGTTCTTCGTTTTAGAGCTTGTGCAAGATTAAGCTGTAATATCCTTATTTGAAATGTAAGCAAAAATGTTACCTCAGTGGGTCATGGTGAGTATGAAATGTGTAAATAATGAAAAGTGCTTTATACCAAGACCAGAAAACAATATTGCTTAATATTTGACTTATACATTTTACCCCAAATGCATCAAATAAGCATATATCACTCCATTTCATTACTACATATATAACAAATATTGAAAGAAATAGAACATGATACAATTCTCTTTGATGGAGTTTCATACTATCCATACACTCTCATGAACTTAGTTAAATATCAACTCCCCAAGAATTATATGTCAATGCTTTTCTTTTCTTTCTATCTGACAGCAGTCAAGATATTTGTGGAAACAGTTCCTCACTGATATCTTAAATTTTGGAAGAATTCCTGCTAGAGACTTTAAGTGAAAGGTATGTAACCAAATGGACTAAATATTCTTCACTTCTATTGCCCTGTGTATTTATGAATATGTGCATATGGGGTGTGAGGGCATGTGGGAGGAAGGAAGAGGGGAGAGAGGGAGAGTAGGATTTCAGGATTACAAAATAGAAGGAATTTAAGAATCACAAATACAGACTCTATGGACACTGCTTTGAAACATCTTTGTCCACATAGTTCCATGCTTTTGTAGATAATATTTGATCATTGTAAGATAGTACTTAATCTATAGTTGAAGAGATTCTGAGTTTATGTCAACATCATGGAAATGTTTTGACCTAAGATTCACAATTACTATGGTTTTAATATTCTAGCTTTTCTACAATTTCAATGAGTACCTGTCCATAGATTCCTTTTCTTTATTCAACTCACAGTTCATTCCACAACACTTCAACCCAGAACAAAATTGTACTCATATCCATGGGTCCTTATGTATATTTAATATGTGTTTAATATGTGTTATTTACTTCTTCTTCTTGTGGCAGAACACAAAATCCATAGCAACTGAAAACTTTAAGAGATGAAAATGCTGGCAGAGTTTGTTCTTCTCCAAAACATTTTCAGAGGGTAGGGCTGTCCTGTGGACTTGGCAAGCCCCTTTTCTCATACATATGTATATGAACTCATTTTGCTTTGGGGATAAGGCAAGTACATGAACAGCATTACTTCCCCTTACCAGTTGAAGAAACAGGCTTAGAGAAAATGAATTTCTCAGCTCTAAAAACAGAGATTCTGAGAGCATCTGAGATGGGAGCTCATCTTTATACCCTTTCAACAGGGATCTGGTTAGATCATCATATTGCTCCCTCTCTGGCTCCACTGAAAGAACATAAATTCATAGAAATGAACACTCTTTTAGATAAAGCATGGTTTTGCTGAGGAGGATATTTAGATGTTGGCAAATGGTGAAAGTTTCAACATAATGACACTCTGTCCCAGATGCCCAGCATAGGAATTGCTTCGGTGTTCTGATTGTGTGATTAAATAAGCAGATCATTTCTTAAGAATCTTATTAAGTCTCTCTGTGTGACACCACAAAATGAATAGCTCTTTAAAATGTTTCTAATGTGTCATCAGTTATCGCTAAAATATGCTTTTGTAATTTTAGGAATAAGGTGAAGCTTTATACAATAATAAATTGTATTCCTCTTAGATGTCTGATATAGCTGCCTCAAATTCTGTAATTTCAGCCTCTCCATTTCCTGAACCTGATCAAGCATGCCATGGAGAAGCACTGGAACTCTGGTTAATGAATCCAGGCTATTTCTTTGCTGTGATTAAGAGCATTATAGTTTTTTGAAAAATAAATATCAGTTCCACTGGATGTATGAAATGTTAGCTGTGAAATTAGAATTTTATAAATCAATCACATGTAAAATAGATCAGAGGAAATTCCTTAGTATTATAGAATTAGATTATGCATGTGCAATGTTCTCTACTCCCTGTGTATATTCAGGCTGAAAAACAGTTATAATTCCACTTGCTCTGGGCAATGTGACATAGCTGTTAGGAGTGTAGAATCAGAAAACAGATACAGGTGAATATCTTAGGTCTGATACATAATATCTTCATAATTTGATATAATTAGGAGACCCCTCCCATTTCTTTGTCCCCATGAAATGAGAGCAGAACCTACTGGGTTATATGAAAGTCAAATGTATGTAAAATATTTATGAAAGTTCCAGGCATAAGTGTGATTTCATTGCATATCATTACAAATATAAAGATGCCATGTATGTGCATATACATATAAAGGGCTTCAAAGATTAACCTTGTAATAAATATTCTACAACTACTTTTTTCTAATTTAAAAATCTCTACAAAATTTAAAGAAAGACTTTTAAAGATTTATTAAGTGCTGGATAATTTCAGATGAGTTAAATTTTTGCTGTATTCTAGGCTCACCTTGACTTCATGGAAAAACAGAAAAATGTCACAGAATTTATTTTCATGGGACTTTTTGGAAACAAGCAAATTGAGCTACTGTTCTTTTTCTTCTTCCTGCTGTGTTACCTGGCAGTCTTAATGGGGAACTTCATCATTTTATTCACAGTCACCTTCAGCCATCTAATGGAACAGCCGATGTACTACTTTCTATGCCACCTTTCCCTCATGGATCTTTGCTACACCTCCACTGTGGTTCCCCGGCTAATCAGAGACTTAGCTGGAGCAAGTAGAAAGATTTCTTATAATGACTGCATGACCCAGCTCTTCACTGTTCACTGGTTGGCAGGTGTGGAAATATTCATCTTGGTGTCCATGGCTTTTGACCGTTATGTGGCCATTGTGAAGCCGCTGCACTACATGAGCATCGTGAACCGGAAGAGGTGTAACTTGCTGATTGTCATGGCCTGGGTACTTGGTTTTTGGCATTCTGTTGCTTTGCTGCTAGTAGTACTCAATTTGCCTTTCTGTGGTCCTAGTCAGATAAATCACTACATGTGTGATGTCAAGCCTCTTTTGAAACTTGTTTGCAAAGATATTCATGCTATTAGTATCTTAGCGATTGCTAATTCAGGGACGGTATTAGTCATAATTTTTACTATGCTAGTAGCTTCTTATATTCTCATTTTATATAATCTCAAGAAAAGATCATCTGCAGGGCGTCGCAAAGCTCTTTCAACCTGTAGTTCTCACATAATGGTAGTAGTTTTATTTTTTGTGCCCTGTATTTATACGTATATCCTACCGACCGATAGTGAGAATAAGGATAAGGAAATCTCTGTGTTCTACACTGTAATCACCCCCATGCTAAATCCTCTCATCTATACACTGAGAAACATGGAAATGAAAATTGCTATGAGGAAGGTATGGTTAGGAATGTCACATTCAGAGTTGAAATAAATAAAGAGAGATACATTTTGCTTTTTGCTTGTGTCCCCAGAACAGTTATTTAAAAAGTCACGAAAACAAGATAAGCTTTGCTTAAGGAATTGGATTACTTGATCTCTCATGTTACCTGAGTCAAAGAAACATGGTACTGTAATTGGGACTGGAATCTCTCCCAATGGCAAATGGCTGAAATACTTCACATTTGACTAAATAGGTTTGAAGACTGCAAGAAATTTCCCTCTGAAGCACGTTTTTCTGCTTGGGCTTCAGTTCAGTAGTAGAAATCATAGTTAAGACATGGAAGGCTCTGGTTTCAATTCCCAGCGCACAAAAAATGTGAAAAAAAATACCTATCTTTAATCACATAAATCCTCTCACTGAAAAATTACATTAGTCTGTTTTCTATGCAGTACAAACCACACTTCTCACTTGTAATCAGAAATCTTCTGAAATTGCCCCATAGCTGATTTGTGATCTCAGAACTCCCTATGCTGGAAGAAATTATAACGTGATGATGACAGGCTTTGAGATAAAAGGGGACCTTGGCACTGATTGCCTCCGTTGGTTTTTTATCTCTGAGTGTTGGCAATTTCTAGTAATTATAAAAGCCTCATTTTCATACTGTCTGTGAAATGAGGTACTATTAAGGTATTATATTCTTTTTGATTTATTTTGTTTTTTTCAAGACAGGTTCTCATTTTCACCCAGGTAGGCCTCCAATTTAGGATCATACTGCCTCTGCTTCCTGAGTGCTGGATTACAGATACAGGCCACCATGCTGGCTAGGTATTAACGTTTCTTAAAGATGGAAGATTATCTTGGTTAACACATGAAACTTTTTAACAGGGAATGTTGTTACTAATGTAAGGAATTTTTCTTCTTTTCTACCATTCTCCCTGTTTCTCTTTGTGAGGATACATTCTAAAGTCTCTCCCACTTCTGGAGCTGTATTCTTCTTCTCTTCTCTGCTTAGAATGTCCCTGCTCTGATGCTAACCACATGCTGGTAACTAATCACATAGTGAATGGAGTCTTATTCAGGAAGATTTTGAACATTAAACAGAACAAAAGTATTTCAAAATCCTTTCTCTTATATTACTATTGCCCTGTGCGTTTATGCTTTTTCAGAAAAAAAATTATGCGATATATTATTTTTTCCTTATGTTTCTTTTTCCTAGCAATGACATACATACAACAAGTAAGTAAATGAATTATTACACAACTAAAATTGAAGGTAGTATTTTTTTCTTTTTTTTTGACTGTATTTACTTCTTTCAAGTGTCTAAAATATGTTATTAACAATATAGCATTAATAATAAAATAGACAGTATAAAATACAAAAAAGACAAAAGTCTGTATGTTCCCAAAGTGATTAGAATGATATCAAACCTACTCTAGGTCCCTTAAACACCTTTATCATTTGCTTCCTGTTTTAGAGAGGCCACTACTACTCCAGTTACAGCTTCCTCCATATTTGTCAGCAACATGATTCAGTCTTAGCTCGGTGCCTCAATTCCCTTTGCTAGATATTTCTTTCTTGTCTTTTCTCAGAAGAATGACTACATTAATTTCATGTAGATTATCCTGGATTCACTTATTTTTTTTCATAATCATGTTAATATTAAGGAAAAGACGTACTATTTTTTCATTAGTGTCAGGAAATTCTTCTTACATATTTCAAGTCTTAGGCTTTTCACACATCTAACTGATTTTTTTTTTTGTAGAGCTGTCCAAATCTCTGAGATACTACAATTCCAGAAGGAAAATTAGGCTCTCGATAGTTATTAATTCACAATTTATCTTACTTGACTTCATGTTACTATTTCTCCATTGAATGTTTGAATTTTTCTTTAAGTGTAGAAATGTAGACATTTTCTTGTGTAGTGGAAGAGTGAGCCATGTAATTATAGCATGTGGTCATTGTGGTTTTTAGAATAGGTCAGGGAAAGTGTCTATTGCATCAAAATAATGCAATGTAACAGAGCAAAACAGCAACAATCATAAATGAAAGGGGAAAGTATGATATTGTATAGTTAGGCAATCACAAAATACGTTGATCTAGATGACATTCTACTTGCTTAATGGAGCAATGTAACAGAGCAAACAGCCACAAATAATGTAAGGGGAAATTATGCCTATTGTATGTTAGGCAATCACAAAATACGTTTGATCTAGATGACATTCTACCTTGCTTTAATGATTTTGTAGAATTCTCTTTGTAAGCTACTCAGAAATGTTTAATATATGCAATATATCAAGCAAATTATGTAGGAAAACTTGATAAGCATTATTTTATTCTCATAATAGTGTAACGCGACTTTTTAAAAATTGTTATAATGGATGATTTTTATAAAATCCTATCCATTGCATAAGAAAATTTTTAATTAGTCATTTACGATATTAGGTCATTGTAAATTTGGCAATAACAACTCATCCTGAAGTCTATTATATGATAGAATAAGCCATCATTATTTTATGCTCCAGGGCTATCACGAAATATCCAGCTGGAATAGTTTATTGAAGTTTCTGTGGACTAAGATAGTTTGGGGTACAAAAGTAGCTGCAAGGGACATTTTTTTTTCTGCACCAAGGATTGAACTTAGGACCTTGCACTTACTAGGTCGGACCTCTACTATTCGAGTCATGTCCCCAGTTCCTTTTGCCTTTTAGTATTTTCAAATAAGCTCTCATGTGTAGGCCTGAGATTGCAAGAAAGAAGGAGTAAATGAAGTTTTCCCTACACTCAACCCAAGCATGCAGCCAGCATGCAGAAAGTCAACCTCTACTTGGGAGACGGGAAGAATAATTATATCTAGTTCTTTAGAATTGAAACCAAGAAGTCTTGCCGTGGTGAAGTCAGTGTTTGGGCAAAGCCACATATTTCTTACTGACAGGCAATATCTGAGCTTTGAGACAAATGCATTAGGTCAGACAGCAATCAATCTGCTTTACCCTCTGGGCAACTAGTCAAGATTGTATCTAGAGCCTAATCGTCAGGCTATCTTCTGTAAACAAGCTTTCAGTCACAGAGCCTCTAAACGACTCCCTCATCAAGGCAGAAACTTTAAACCTGCAGACAGACTTGATTTCTTCTACCCTTAAATCATTTGGGAGCTTTTGAGTGGGACTAGAGAACACCTGCCTTTTTCCAACATTTTGTAGGTCCTAAAGCTACCAGACTCAACATAGCCCCAACTTGCAACCAGTTTTGCAAGGCTAAAGGACTGTCTCCATTACCTTTCCCCCACTTCAGGCAACACAACTATCATAAGTCATCATTGAGAAAATGAGGCTTTTTAGATATTTCTGGAACATGCAGAAACTTACGCCCAGTAGGACAGACTCATATTTTTGATGCACCCATGGTACTTTGTGGGTATGGGCCCTCATGTATCACTGAGACTGTGAAGGCCAGGCATTTGTGAGACTCCAAGTATGACTCAACTTAACAGCATTCAGATGGTCCAAGGTTCTGCCTCACCAAGTCTCCTTAAACATCAAGGAAGTTATAAACTTTCCTCTCAAGACTGGCTTAGCTGTGTCCCCATAGGGTTCCGGTAGGTTGTGTTTTCCATTTTCTTGAATTCTAGGCATTTTTTCATTTCCTCTTTTATTGGATCGATGATCCACTTCTTCATTTAAGTTTAATGAGTTTAATTTAGTTTCAGCTGTTTTGCATGTTTTTTGTCTTTAACTTTTGTTTTGAGTTCTACTTTTACTGCATTGTGGTCAGATAGTTATGCATGGTATTATTCTTATTTTTCTTATATTTCCTGGAGGCTGCTTATGTGCCCTAGGATATAATCTATTTTGGAAGAAGGTTCCCTGGGCTGCTGAGAAGAATGTATATTTGTAGAGGTTGATGAAATGTTTGTACAGACATCTACTAGGTCCACAACTTGATTATTGCAATATTTTAGATCTTGGATTCTTTATTGAGTTTTTGTTTGATGACCTATCTATTGCTTGAATAATGGGTGTTAAAGTCCTCCACAACCATGTGTTGGGCGTTTATAATGCCTTAAGGTCTTTCAGGGTATGTTTGAATGAATTGGGGTGGCGTTGACATTGGTGCGTACAGATTGATGAATTATTATTTCCTTTTGTCTATTTCCCCTTTATAGTATGGAATGACCTCTTTATCTCTTTGGATCAATGTAGGTTTGAAGTCTACTTGTCAGCGATAAGTATTGCTATCCTGCTTGTTTTCAGGGGCCATTGGCTTGGTAAATCTTCTTCCAGCCTTTTCATCCTAAGCATATGCTTATTTTCTGTCGGTGAGATGAGTTCTCCTGTAAGCAAAAATTGTTGGATCTTCTTTTTTTTAATCCATTTTGTCAAACGGTGTCTTTTGAATGGGTGAATTAAGTCCATTAACATTAAGTTGTTGTAACTGATAGGTATGTGGTGATTCCTGCCATTTAGTTATCTTCGTTGTTTGAAGTTTTGATTTGTGTGTACCTAACTTGATGTTATCCCTCTACTGTCTTGCTTTTTTTTTCTTATCCTGTGGTTTGGTGGCTGCCTGCTTTTCAAAATGGTTAGTTGGGTGTCCACTTTCTGTGTGAGGATCCCTTGCCAGAATCTTTTGTCAATGGTGGCTTTGTGGTCACATACTTTGTTTTTAGTTTTGCTTATTCATGGGGAAGACTTTAATTGCTCCATCTACCTTTGAATGATAGCTTTGCTGGGTAGAGTATCCTGGGGTTGAAGTTATTTTCATTCAGTGCCCGGAAGATCTCACCCCATGCTCTTACACTGTTGGTGGGAATGTAGACTAGTACAACCACTCTGGAAAAAAATTTGGAGGCTACTTAAAAAGCTGGACATCGATCTACCATTTGATCCAGCAATACCACTCTTGGGGATATACCCAAAAGACTGTTACTCCAGAGGCACCTGCACATCCATGTTTATTGCGGCACTATTCACAATAGCCAAGTTATGGAAACAGCCAAGATGCCCCAGCACTGACGAATGGATTAAGAAAATGTGGTATCTATACACAATGGA